AAAAAAAGAAGTAGTCAGTTTTCATATAAATTTGCCAATTCAGGGACTTCCCGGAGAAGCGGGTCCAGACGGTTTCCCTGGTCTTGAAGGCCAACTCGGTGGAAATGGCGCTGACGCTGAGTACTGCCCTTGCCCTGATAGATCTAAGAAAGTAGAAGGAGCTGGTAGTGGTCTATCTCACGATACCGAAGCAGGCCTTAGAGCTAAGGCTCACGAATTCACTCCTGCTAGTGGCAGCAGCGCTCCGACTCACTTCTCTGCACCTGTTCCTCATCGCTCTTCCAATGGCGGAGGTAGTGGAAGCACTGGTGCTGGTGGAGTACATGGAGAAGGTAGTATCATTGGTGGAGGCAATGGAGGAGTATCTGGTGCAGCTTCGTACAATGCGGGTTCAGGTCCTGGTGTATCGGCTGGTACATCTGGATCATCCAGTCCATTAGGAGCGGAAGGTAGTGCTCATGTGCCCCTCCATGAGGTTGCATCTGGTCCTCCCATTGGAGGAATTGGAAGAGCAGGAGAGGCTGAAGATGCTGGAGTGGGTGCAGGCCCAGGGTCCAGCGGAGCCTACAACGACAATCGCCGGAGCAGGGTCAGCAAAACATTCTTCATTATAATTAGATTTGAATTTTTCAAATAACTTCCCTTTCTCAGATTCGCGTCAACAAGGAAGCCTTGGCTCGTTCTCTTCGCAGAAAGCTCGTCCTTCTTTAAGGAAAATATCTATCAGAAAGCGTCAAATTTTCTTATTCTAACACAAAAACAAACTGAAATAAATATTTTTATGTCACATCTTTAGGAATTCAAGCAAAAAGCAAATACACCACGATATTTGATTCTACGCGACAAACACAGACGATATATACAACGAATGTTTGTATTTGAAAAAACTAGGCTATTGATTGAAAAAGCTAACTAAACTCTCGCGTGTGGAGGCCAAAAGAATCATATCACCTGAACCTAGTTTTAGGAATTCGAACCTTTGTTGTCTTTCAAAAGTGAGATTCAGATTGTCAAAGGAGAAAGGAATCTAGAACTCTTTACATCTCAAATTTGATTTTGGCATTTGTGTTGTCACAAGAGTTGTTGGGTTTTCATTTGCAGCATTTCATCGAAAGAAACAGCTCACAGAAAGGGTTTTTCTAAAAGTGATTCAATGATTATGACAAACGAATTCTTTCGTAGCTGACTTCCTCCCCTATTCCAAACCTTCTCCTCCCCATTTTCTCCATCAACAAACATCCTTCCTCTT